AGTCCAGAGCGATGGCTACATGGTGGAGTGGACCTGGGGGAGGGTTTGTAAAACAATGAAAGAATTTTTCTTTTACTTTTCCAAGAGGGTAGTGTACTGTGGGGGAGGACTGGGAGGGGAGAAAAGTGCAACAATGAATGAATGGATATCCAAAGTCTCTGTAAATTTTCATTGAAATTAATAATAAATTTAAGAAGAAAACAATAAAAAACCAGAAGGATAAACAGTAAGATGTGTATAAAAGTTCAAAGGCGAAAACTAAGTGAAGCAGGACTTAGGATTGAGAGAGGAGAAAAATCACAGGGTCACAGAGTTTAGTGGACAAAGGGAAGGGGTGCAGGAATTAGGAAAGATCAATAGGGACCTGAAAAGTTGGAGTGACAATGGGCACAGATCATTTGTGACTAATTTTTTAAAACACAATGTGTAGGAATGACCAGATGAAACACAAAGTGAATAAAAAATAAAAAGGAAAACATAAAACTGGCAGTCTGTGGTAACAGCCTAGGTAGGGTGAAGGTTGCCAAGTCACTCCACTGAAGTCAGTATGAAGGCTGTAAGTCATCTCATCTCACCATTCCATGACCTTTATCGACAGCAGCATTTTCTTTATAGTTTCTATTCCTTTTGCTTCCTGATGAGGCCACTTTCTCCGGCCACTTGTACTTCAGTGGACTCTAACTTTACAGCAAAGGGAATGGGACTGTTGAACTTAATCTTCTCTAGGCCACTCACCTGATTAGCATAGCGTTTTGGTAACTTCTTGACAAAGTCAATGTCCATTTCTTCATCATCTTTCTTATCTTCCTCCTCCTCCTCACTCTCCATTCCTGTCCAATCATCTTCAGCGAGTCTTCTGGCATGGTTCACATAATCGAGTCGCTTGCTAGAGAGAGAGAAAAAAAAAGGAAAAAATATTGGTCTTTCTATCTTAAAGGAAGACACTCTCCAGTATGCTAGACTAAATTCTAAAAGCTTCTGGGAGCAGCCTGGGGATTCAGGTAAGAGCAAGAGGTCATGGTTCCCTTTGCAAGGCTAACCTAGTGACCATCTCACTGATCATGAACCGGGAAACCACCATCTAAGCACACTCAGTCTTCTTTGGAGTTTTCTATGAATGAGCAAAGTAACAAGTTTAAAGGAATATCCAAAGTTCAATAGATGAAAAGGCTCCCCTCTCACCGCCCACTCTGACCTAGGGCTATAGTTTAGAGGTGCCACCTCCTCAGTCTGGCAGACACCTAGCTGAAAAGACAGGAGAGAGAAAACACTGAGGCACTTTCAGAGCCTAGAACAAGGGCAGCTTCTGTGGCTTTCAACTTTACACAGCTTTCTGGGAGAAAACTTAGACCTTCTGCCAGTTTCTAACTTTCAAAACAGGTCACTTAAGTTTATATATCTTCTACTTATTTGCTTCCTTTTATTAGTATAATGTGCTTTTTTTCTCTATTAGCTATATAGTCTAGAAAGTCTGGGAGATTGATAAGGAACCTTTTAAAACTGTTTCAAAATAAGTTAGAGATAGTATATATCCTCTTGTTTCCTCACAAGGCAAGAATTCAGTCAAATGAAGTAATGATACCAAGATAATTGGAATTTTCCCAAATATATACATGCACAGTCCAAGAAGGCACACACTAGAGAAAGCATATTTAAGTGTGATGGCCTTTTCTAGAATGAGAGAGTTCACATAATTTAACAGAGGCAGATTCATGATTATTTCCCAAGCATCCCACAAAAGGGAACTACTTCCCCAGAAAACCCTTGCTAGGGAATTGGTTAGATTATATTATGGATCATCCATTCAATGGACTGACAAATAGGAATAAGGTTGCTGCTGTTGTGTACCGCAGAGTCAGAACCAACCCATAGCTGGCCCTCCAGCAGGTTTTCAGAGGCAGTTAATCGCACAGGAGGAGATTGCCCATTCTTCTCCCACAGAGCAGCTGGTGGCCTCAAACTGCATACTTTGGGATCACAGCACAGCTGCTTGCCAATAAGGCCACCAGAGCTTCTTAGGAATAAGGGAGCATTTAAGAATTAATAATGGGGCGAGCTCTGGTGGCCTAGTAGCAAGAAGCTGCACTGCAATCCCAGAGGCGCGTGGTTCAAATCCACCAGATGCTCTGCTGAAGAAGGAGGGACAAACTCCTCCTGTACCAGTCAGATCCAATTTGACGGTACACACACACACAGACACAAAAAAAATGGTGCTGGCAAAATTGGAAAACTGTATGCAGAAGACTAAAACAAGATCCACACCTCACTCCATATACAAAAACCAACTTAAGGTGGATCATGGACTTAGGACTAAAACCAAGGACTATAAACTTCATTCAAGAAAAACTTGGAAGAACTTTAGTGGTCCTAATCCACAACATAAAAAGTCTTCCAAGTATCCTGGAAAATCTACAACCGGGAGAAGATAAAATAGATGAATGGGACCTTCTAAGAATCAAATCCCTATGCACATCCAAAAACTTCTCCAATAGAGTAAAAAGGGAAGCCACAGACTGGGAAAAAATATTTGGTAATGGCATGTCAGATAAGGGACTTGTATCCAGAATTTATAAAATACTTGAACACCACAATAAGATAAAGGTAAATAATCCAATAGAAAAGTGGGCACAGGATATGAACAGACACTTCACCGAAGAAGACATTCAGATGGCCAACAAGCACAAGAAGAAATGTTCAAAGTCCCTAGCTCTAAGAGAGATGCAAATCAAAGCAACTATGAGATATCATCTCACTCCAGTAAGACTAACAAAATATAACAGAACAGCAAGCAACAAATGCTGGCGAGGATGTGGAGAAACTGGAACTCTTATTCACTGTTGGTGGGAATGTAAGATGGTGCAACCATTGTGGAAGGCGGTGTGGCGCTTTCTCAAAAAATTGCAAATAGAGATACCATTTGACCCAGCAATCCCATTACTGGGAATATACCCCAGAGAGATCATGTCTGCCATCCAAGCAGATATATGCACACCCATGTTTATTGCAGCTTTGTTTACAATAGAAAAGAGTTGGAAGCAGCCTAAGGGCCCATCAACAAACGAATGGATAGAGAAGCTGTGGTATATCCACACAATGGAATACTACGCAGCATTGAAAAACAAGGAACTCATGCAATATTATTCAAAGTGGGTGACCCTGGAGGACATTATGCTGAGTGAAATATCCCAGTCACAAAGCGACAAATACTGCATGGTGCCACTGTTGTAGAATGGGTCTGACACATCAGGGTGGGGGTATGACAGAAAAAACTGGATAAATTATGTATATTGTATTGAAACAGATGAGGGAAAGAACAGATTAGAAGTGATATATGATTATTATGGTTAGCACAGGAAGCCAGAATTAAGGTTGCATAGAGAAGTGAACTCGGGGTGGGGGATGGGGGGAAAGGGACGTGGGAATTGTATACTAATGAAGGAATTTTTTTTTTCTCTTCGGAGGGGGAAGCAAGCTGGTGGGGAGGGGTGGGCAGGGAGAAAAGTGTGGCAATGAATGAATGGAAATCCAAAACCTCTGTAAATGTCTATTAAAATAAAAAAAAAATTAATAATGGAAGTCCTCCAAGAAGAGGACTGTTAAATAAATATGCAGAAAAGTATGTAACAAGCTATTACTCGTGTTATAAAAAAGCAAAACAAAACTCAATTATTGTGTACACATACAACCATATAGACTTTATCTGTAAAGAATATCTTGGGAAGAATACACATAAAAGGAACTGAATGGCTAGAGAACATAACTGAAAGAATTGTTATTATTTTTCCTTTGATGTATTTCAAATATTGTATCATATCACTTCAGTACCTATTATAGAATAATTAATTATAAATAAAAAGAGAGGGCAAGCAAGAGGACTGATCTGGTACTGTAATCTGTAAGCAATTCAGAGGTCATAGGGAGTCATCCCTGCTAAACACATCCAATGATACAGCACTGAGCCAAATACAGACCGGATGCAAACTGTGCAGCTGTTAAAGTTTTCTCCTAATCCCCAATTCTTTGATTCATTACTCTGAAAAGGCCAAGTCCTCCTTCAGAGCAATCCAGCCTCAAACATTTGTATCCTGCTCTCTTTGGTGGTTTGCTCATCTTGGCATTTAGAATTAAGTACATGGAAGACATTTCCTCAGGCTTCCTGTGGAATTATTTGTTTTGAACTCCCAAGGGCTCAGTAGAAACATTTGGGCTGACCAATGCCAGGATTCAGACTGCAGAAGAAGCCACACATAAGCAACACAGAATAGGGGGAGTGGAATTATGGGTGCGGCTTTCACAAGTCTAAATTGCAAAGCTCAGTATTGCTGCCAGGAAAAAAAAGGGAAAAAATTAACCAAATGATTAAGCTTTTGCATTCAAACCTCAGTCTCTCCCTACTTCCTCATCTTTTCCCAAGCTCTGGGCATAAAGGATGTTTCCCTTTGCCAAGATTTATCCCTCCTAAACTTACAGGCAGGAAGAACAACCTACAAAGGGTCTAGTGGGACAAGCCCAGAGCCTCCTGAATGGTTCACAGTTCCCAGCTTCAAGAAAGAAGGCAAGCAGTTAAAGCATCTCTTACAATTTCTGCAGTTCCAGTAACCGTCGGCGCCGCTCACTCTGCTCTAAAGAACTGTACTTGGACTTGTACTGAGACAGGCGGGGGTGTGGGGCTGCTGTGCTATTCAATTCTTGGGACACAGAAAAGCTATTAGCCAGGGCTTGACTCAGCTCTTCCATCTTTCCTACAAAAGAAAATGTGAAGAACAAACAAAAAGGTTAAATCAGTTCTGATTATCTCCTGTGTACAGGCAGTTATGATGTATCCTTATGGCTACATTTCTAAGAAACACCACTTAATCAAGTCACAATTATTTCCATGGGAGAAGAGGAAGTTAAGGAGTAAATGAGCTATAAGTTAGCCAATAGCAAGACTTTATTTGCTACAGATAACTCAGTAATGTTCATTTCTGATAGCTCTAAGTGTATAGATAAAGAGCCCTGATGGTATGGTAGTCAAGTGATCTGCTGGATAAGATCCATAAGGTCAGTAGTTTGAACTCGTCAGTGGCTTTGAAAGAGAAAAGATGTGGCAGTCGGCTTCCCTAAAGATTACAGCTTTGAAAACTCTATGGGGTAGTCCTATTCTACCCTATGGAGTCACTACAAAGAAATATCCACAAAAAAAAAATAAAGAAAATAAATAAAAGAAAAAAAGAAATATCCACTTAACAGAAATGGATTTTGATAAGTATATAGACATAAACATCAATCACTGAACAAACTCACCCCATGGTTGAGTCTCATCATCACCATGAACTCTGGCATTAGTTCCTTTTTATCACCACTGACAATCAGCAATGTGATCAAGCACCTGTTTTTCTCCTTAGTTCTAAATAGCCATTACTAATAACTTTGGTGGCCTAGTGGTAAGAAGCTGCGCTGATATTCCAAAGGCACACAGTCTGAGTTCACCACATGCTCTGCAGGAGGATGGCCAATCTCCTGTGGTGGGATTTGCTGCCTCTGAAAATCTGCCATAGGGTCAGCTATGAGTTGGTTCCAACCCGACTGCAAACAACTGATGGCCCAGGAGTAAGGGAGTTACACTGTCAACTCAAAGACACATGGTCTGAATCCACCAGCTGCTACAGGGAGAAAAATGGCCAATCTCCTCCCTTATAATTTACAGCCTCTAAAACCTGCTGGAGGGTCAGTTATGGGTTGGTTCCAATTCAACAACACATAACAACAACAATAACTAATAACTCAATAATGCTAATTTTATCCAATTGTTTGTTTAGTTCCCTAGCAAATGCCAATTCACATTAAGAATACTTGTTGTTGTTGTGTACAAGAGATGGAACCAACTCATAGCTGTTCCCCCAGCAGGTTTTCAGAGGCAGTTAAATGCACAGAAGAGACTGCCCATTCTTCTCCCACGGAGCAACTGATGGCCTCAAACTGAGTGCTTCTGGGATTGCAGCACAACTTCTTGCCACCAGGCCACCAGAACTCCCTGGTTCGAAGGCCCCTTAACAGAAGACAAAAGAGGCCACAGATTCAAATCTGGGTAGTTAATTTCTCATTTTGGTGGGTTTTGTGGGGAAGAATGGGAGTGGGAGGTCTCACTTATGTGAAACTCATTTAGGGAGGAAAAGAAAAAGAGCAAGAATATATTTGTTGTTGTTGTTGTTATGTG